ATGTGCGTGCAAAGAACTTCACTCATAGAGCCGGTAGTGATTATTTAAACATTGCAAAAAATATACCTGCCTCTTTAACGCAAGCACAATTCAAGCGACGAGTATCTAATATGATACTCAGAATTAGAGGTTCATAGTATTTTTTGAGACTGATTACCAAAGCTCGTTGTTCTTAAAAATGGAATTGATTTGTAGTTGTTTCTTGTTCAGTTATGATTCAATAATGGTATTAAATTATTTCTCACGTGTGCCTTATGCAAACGTAATAAACTTATACTTATAAGATCAAGGGAGGAATCCATAATAAGGAGGAAGGTTCAAGGTTGAAGAGGGGGAAACTCACCTAGTGGAGAGACAGGCGAACCTCTAAAGCAGGGTGAAAAACGTGTCGAGGAAATGATCGCCTCTCCACGAGCCTCCCCCTCAACAAGGACTTCGATACGACCGTTTTTTGTTGTCCATAACAATACCATATTTTTATTCTCCCTTTCGAAACAAAAAATATTATTTTTAGATGTACGAGAGGAAGGCACCGCCGCTGCCACGCGAATGCTCTCAAATCCTTAACCCATTTCTGCTGAGGCTGGCTAGTGCCAATCATTTCAGAGAGGGAAGGCAGCTTCTGTATGCGCGCGACTTCTAGTTTCTAAATTGTGCTGAGCGTTTTTCTAAGCACGCCTATTCTCGAGAGTGGGAGACGTCGAGAAATTGTCGAGGAAATTGAAATTCACATGCGAGTTTTCACTCTTTGAAAGATTATAACTTTTATAGCAATGCTTTGAAAATACGGGCAAGCTTTGTAAAGTAAATTTTAATTTCAAGAGTGAAGTAAAAAATAGTTAATTTACGCTTTTTGAGAGGTATTACAGAAGTTTCGAGCATTCTCTAGTTCACGAAAATCTCCATTGAGGAAATGTCGAGGAGCTTTCCAAAGCTACATTTTCAGAATGATTCTGAAACACATCATCTCATCGAATTAAATAAGAAATGGTACACTTGGTGACGGCAAACCGTCTGAGAATACTTACTTACTTAATTTTTCATTTTACTCATTTACTCACTCATTCATTCATTTATGCTGTGCTTACTACTCCATTTTTAATCCATTTATGCCTTTTCCATTACTATATCAACATGTCTCCTTCATTTTCCTGATCGATAACACTTCGTGGTGTTTGAAACGTCGATGTTTATTGATGGCGAGTTGCGATTAGACTCTATAAGTTTCGCGTGAGGCTTCTCCATAATAAAAGGGATCGCTTGAACGAGCACTCATTTGCTACAACCTGATGTGTATCAATGAAAATAGCTTAATTCATTTATTTTTATTTTTAATTCATCTTATTTCATCATTTCTGGTATCTCAGTCCTCGTAGATCACTGCTTTTAACGCTTATATTCGGCTAAAAAACGGTCGAATTTGGAGATTTTAAATTTTGACTCCTCTTATAATCATCACTATTTTTGTTATTTGTTCAGAATAGGTTCAATACTCCCAGTTTAAGGGCTTTCTCGACCGACACAAAATGTTCGCGTGGCAATTTTTGGTTTGGCGAGCTTTGGTGGAAAATTTGAGAAGGTCTTCATTTGGCACACATACATTCTGTTCTGTTATCCGCCATGCAGTGACTCCAGTCGGAGCCATTAGAAAGGTGTTTGTCTAAAGAAACATACTTCTGGGCGACCGAAAAGGTTCTATTTTCAATTCATCCATATAAAAAACAATGGCTTCATAGATAGTCTGAATAGTCATTGAGTTACTCGCGTTCCGTTCCGATCCTTTCGATTAAATGAAAATTGCGCTGCAGTATTCGATAATGCTAAGAAAGCTGAAACCTTACCGTTTTGAACTTTCTGCTAATATAATGTTCCTCCACTAGGTTCTTGAACGTGTGACATTAATATGGAGTAGGGATCTGTTCCCGTCCACCACGTTTATTTTGCAGGACGTTCCTCCTCTGATCAACACAGTCTACACTTCGCATTGGACCTTGATTTTACACGATTTAGACATAGTGCTGTATCTAATAAATGTCTTGTGAAATAATGATACAGCGATAGTGTTGCAGTACCCATTGTGTCCATTTTATACAATCACGCTTACTACCGCCTCACTTCATCGAGCAAATACACCATTCCGAGCTTTCTCACCATGTTTTAAGGGTAAAAAATTTCTTCACTTTCCAAGGTGACCGTTGCGTCGAAAGCTTCCGCGTCACAGCTGGCGCTTTCTGTGCGTCCGTCCCTTCGCTGCTGAGCTATCTAGCCGTTGCGCAGAAAGAGACGTTAGTGTTGAAGAGAAGCAGACGACGTTGCTTGCATCGATCCGAAAATTGACGGCAAAGAAGTAGCCCCTTTTAATGGGCTTCGAAAGTCGCGTTTCTTGGTTTTTATATTCTCGGTCTCACTGGCCCCTCTAACTTAATTTCGACGTGCTGCCTTTCATCGTCAAATCCGCCTTTGACCCTTTAGACCTGGAGCAGTTGCCACATAAAATTCAGGTCGGCATTCCCGTTACACTTTTTCCAGATTGGCATATTAATTAATCATGGAGCATCAATGAAATTGTTTAGACTACGGTGTGTCCACTGTCTGCTTACCTCTCTGTTCGTAATTCGTTTAAAAGTAAGTGGCTCAAGCCGTCATACAACAGATAAAGAATAAACACAAATTTATTTGATCAATCACCCATTAATACGATCGAGAGAATCATTCTCATGACCTACTGCGTAACCGATCCTAGACTCGACGAGACACATGAGCGGAGATAAGAGATAGAAGAATCGAAGGAATGAGGCCGAAGAAGAAGAAGAAGCCCTTTTACACAACTCATCGTCCTTTTATCTCGCGCTTTCCTCTCAGCCCGCCTTCATCACGTCGCACATCGTGACGGCGGTCACGACACTCCGGCCAGGAGAGTGGGTGACATCCGATAAGGAAGTATTACGAGGGCCCCACTACTGACCGATCGCACGACGATCGGCCATGCGAACATCAGTGCGTTTCCCTACGCGTTTTCTATCATGCCGAAGGAAGGAGCGAACACTCCGACCTACACATGAGGCGTAACGCGCGATTTACGAAAGACGTCACTATTTACGACAGACGTCACTCTCCGGCCACGAGCAAAGTGTGACTATCGACAACTTGAACGACATGTGAACTACGAAAGGACTCGCGGACTACGCAGAAGCTGAGGACGACGCCTCCGCAACGCTTTTAATCAATCTCCCATTGGTTACCAAATCGAATCCCAACTTAATCAGCCACGACTATCTATGAGACAGATCAAGAATGTCTGTGAACTACTGAGGAAACATATATGGGCACAAAACCGATACATGATGTTCTACTTGATCGATGCGCTTATGCAAAGTACAGTAGTAACATGCAACGCGACTACATTTAGCTTCGTGATTGGCTTCAGTACGTAGCTGGAAACACTTGAAGCAGATTTTCAATTCACGCATTCTGTCCCTACGGTCAGATAGAGTGGGAAAAACGTCACACTCGGAGGCGAACTGATGGGTTGTGGACCCACAAACGAATTTACATTTCCCTTTTTCAACCCATCTGTTCGTTCCCGGAACAAATCCTTTAGAAGTCTGTTGTTGATCTGAACTGCTCTGAACAACTGGAGGTGCGGGAGGCTCAGTAGTGGCGAGTGTTGATTGTTCCTTAGCACCACGGGTTTCTTCCAGTGATAACGAAGGGTTATCAAGTAGTGCTCGGATTTGGTTTTCGATGTCCTTGATCTCGTCGTTGGCCACTCGAGCAGCTTTCTGTAATGTAATAGAATACTATCGTGTTGTTTTTGATTTACGACACTGACCATTTTGCGCCTTCGTCGTCTCTTTTTTACGAGAGAGCGATAGGTGGACCAAGGGTGTTTCTTAAGATTCATTTCTTAAAGAAACATGGGCCTATTCTCTTGTGACAGAAATGGGTCTTACCAACCTCTTTTGACGAGGCTTCTTGCCGGAGCCTATGCAAGTGCCGCGCAAGATCGGCGATGAGCGAACGAAGTATGGCCGCAATAGTTTCCCCTACGTTCGGATTTACGCTTGAGTTGCCATCGGTATCCTCTACGACTGGAGACGTTTCATCTCCAACTTCCATACCATCCCTTTCGGAATGCTCCGATGACATTCTTAAAAAGCAGGGACTTTCTAATCGTGTTTCCGAAAGTAAAAATTACGTATGAAAGCGATAACATATACGAAATTCGAAGAACAATCAATTTAATCGTGGAAAATTCGAAAGGTGCGAATAAGGACCTTGAAGAGTGTATGAATTGTAGTCACTACCGCGCGATAGAATAAATGTAAAATTGAAAGAATAGCAACAAAGGGAAGGCAACAAGGGATTTGGGACATAAATATGAGTGATTTAGGTTTCTTGCTCGAAGTTAGTTTCGCGATCGTAATAAACGTGATGAGAATTGCTGCAAGAAGAGAAATTAGTACTATAGTTGAATAGAGGAAGTATTTTTTGATTACGTCAAATAAATGCTAAAAATCGGGAAATCCGAATCCGAATTTTCGTCTGGATGACCTTCTAGTTTTACGAGTTGCGAAAAAATAGGGAGGTGATTAAAATGGATTTGTGAACTGCAATTGGCCCGCCACTTCGATGATAATCGAACTGCGTTCCACAAGTAACTGTACAGCTGTCGTTTACTCGGAGCTTTTGAATAGAAAAAACGAATTGGCGTGTCTTTTCGAGTACGTGACAGTGAATTGCGAATGACTGTGTGGAACATTCCACCTGTGCCAGGATGTTATTGATACTGGAGCGGCAGGTAAATGTGGCGAGCGCTCCTTTCAAGCATCCGTAACATCCTCGCAAAGGAGAAACCGAAACTGAGCATGAAAATTGGTCTACGATATTTCGTATGCGAGATTTCGATATGTTAAGTGATAAAGATATTTCTAACGAAGCTAATTGCGTTTGTAAACTAGGAGTGTACTTAGACATTGGAACTTGGTGCGAGAATAAAATTAGGGTACGTTAGAGGAAGAGTGGACTGCAAAGTTGAATATATTGCTAACTTGATCATCTGTACAGTAACAATTTACTTCATTTTGCGCTGGTGTACACTTACAGGTGTCCTTCACCGTACACTCTTCTAAATGTGTAAGATTAGAATTGGCACAAGCATACGTGACTTGCGTATTCGAAGGAATTATTGCTATAGCGGAGTTCTTACGAATAAATTGCGTGGTTAATAGAGGGATTCGGAGGTATAGCTAAATTCGTGATCGATATTACGTCATCAAAAATCTGTTTTTGAACATTGGGTTGAAGAACGAAGAAATATTTACGTGTTCTTGCCAGTAGAGTGAGAGATTTCCGAGACTGATGTTTACGGTTTCGTACCAAGTGGGGCATTGAAAAATTTCGTATATTTCCGTACTAACTGGCTTTTTGTAAACCCTATAAAAAAGGCACCCAGAAGAGGGAAAACCACAGTCACAGCCCCAAAAACCACATGATTCCGTACAATATGTTATTCCTGGGTACGTGTTCGCTTCCGAAAGTTCGTCAACAAGACTCGTTGCGTTTATTAATCCGCATTTCCGACCAACACAACTTCCTCTACCAGGGCATCTTTTACGCGATTGAACTTTCGTGACCGTTTCGCGAGTGAAATAGAGGGTTTCCCTATTACAAGTAAGGGTTACGTCGTATAGAGTTATTTTAATTTGTTCGAAAATTGCGTTTTTCGACGAAATTACGAAACAAGCTTCACGAATCAAAGGGTTAAGTTTTCAAAGATTGCGTAGTTACGGTCGAGCAATTTGAATGAGCTTCCGGACACAGTCTAGTTTCTGTGGAAATGGGGAACGTAAACTGACAAGGCAAAACCGAAGCAAACAGAGAAAAAACGTGACTACGGTAACGATATTAATGAAAGGATGAGCTTTTAAACTTTGTCCGAGGAGGGTAATCGCAATCAATGGGACTTCTTCGATCGCGCTTCGAAGCTGTTGCGCGGAGGAGTTTCGAAAACAAAAGGCGAGAACCGTGCGGCAGCATCTTACGATGCGTCTGCATAAGCAAAGTGCGAGCACTGCGGAGAGAGCGAGGAAATAGAGGAGAATTCCGAGCGTTGCGTTGGCTATCTTCGGCCAGCATTCAGGGTTAGCCATCATTACGAGACAAAACAGCAATCGATCATTTCGCAAAACGGGCTTGGAGGGCACAATATACTGCTTGTTACGACTTCATTGACAGATTGAGCCTTGATATGGACATTATGTTCATGTTAAGCATATTTCTGCGGGGAACATCATGCTCATTTCGTTTCGGATTACGGTAGTTTGTACGCAGTGATTGTCGGCGCAGACATGAATGTCTGTGAACGGCGCAAGTGCATTGAGAAGGACGCTTCCTTTGAGGCACTTCGCATTCAAGTTCGTTACTTGCGTAGTGCTCACATGTTCCGAGGAAACGTTACCACAAAGTGCTAAAATCATTGCGAAGTTGAGTAAAACGGAGAAGTTTAATGGTTTTCCCGTTACGCTATGGGGCATTACGTCTATATATTCTGCGTAGGACACTTTCTTTTTCGCTGTACGTTCTGGTTGAATCCGTCTTTCGCAATGTTCCGACTGTGTACCTGTAGCTATTCCCTTTTCCGGTGTTTCGCCGAGTTTTTCGTCCGAAACTGATAATTCCAAGGGAATAAGCATGTTGACGGGTCTTTTGATTACTTTTCTATTGGGGCAACGTACACTTACAAGTTCGCACTTGATCGTCTCCCCCTGGGTGTAGCTTTTCAGTTACACCCATCCTTCCACTGAGTACGAGGTAAACTTTGTTCTTGTAGAAGTACGACTGAACCTACGATTAGCATAAGTTTTCGTGACTTTTTACGAAATTCTTCTAGATGAAAGTTTTGCAGTGTAGTGAGGTACGTATGAGACCAAATTTGCCAAAATTTTGCGAGTGATTCTTTCGTTTCTTTCAAAAGTTGAATTGCTTCATTACGGTTCGAAATAAGACGAAAGTTCGGGTCGTAATCTGGTTCAAAGTTCCACAAAGAGATTTTCGCATGCGGGTGTAAGAAGTCAATTGGGCGTATTGGATTTCCTTCTTCGAAGCATGATGACACGTAGGTCAAAGGACGACTATTTACGAGAGCTTCACATTCCGTAACAACGGTGCAAATTCCTCATCCGAAAGAAATCTTTTTTGTATCGATTTACGTAGACACGATTTCAAGCAACCTATTAACCTTTCGTAAAAGCCACCTTTCCACGGCGATAGTGGTGTTATGAAGTTCCAGGTGATACCGTGTTGCGAACTGAAATTAGAAAATTCTTCCGAGTTTTCCGAGTCGTTAAATATAATACGAATGAGATCATTTCCACTAGTAAATGTGGTTGCGTTATCCGATAACATTGTACGTGGAGTTCCTCTACGTGCAATGAACCGTCGGAATGCGCCAATGAATTCCTTAGCGGAGAGCCCTTTAACCGTTTCGAGATGGATGGCACGTGTGGCCATACAGGTGAACAAACAAATCCATCTTTTTTCGTGTTGACTGCCTTCTGTTTTGACGAGGAAGGGACCCGCGTAGTCTAACCCAATATTTTCGAATGGGCGTGATATGGATACTCTTTCTGTCGGTAAAGCTGGTGCTGAGGGATATTTATAAGGTGTTCCTTGTGCTTTTCTACAAGTTACGCAATCTCGTATAATTTTCTTTACGATTTGCCTTCCTTTAGGAATCCAATACTTTGTCTGTAGTTCGGCAAGAGTACCAGCGACTCCTTGATGCCCACACCTTTTATGAACGTCCATTACGATTATTTTCGTTAAAGTGTGATTTGGTACCAGAAGAATGGGATTCGTTGCGTCGTAGCCCAAGTGCGAATTTGCTAGTCGACCCTGGCAACGATAAATTCCGTTATCTGTTACTAATTTGAGGTTTTCGAGGGATTTGCATTGTTTTTCGGATAATCCTCGATAATGATCTCGAAGAAGTACCCTTTCTGCCACGATCAAATCTTTAGCGGTTATTTGCTTAGAGTCGGAAATTTCGCAAATTGCGTTACATGGCGATCCATGTTCAACTTGCGAGAGTTTAGTATAACGGTTTTTTCCGATCTTACTGATAAATTTAAGAACAAGAGCTGCCGAACGTTTTAGTTTATTGAAATCGGATAATGAAAAGCGGAAAATCGGCGTGTTTTCGTTTGCGTTTCTTATGCAGAGCTGCAGGGCTACTTCTGAGGCGTTATACTTCATTTCGAATTTCTCTGTTTGTGTCCATGTGTTTTCGTTCTGTAGCAGAAACTGTGGGCCATGCCACCAAAAATGATTCTGGAAGCTACTTTTATCTACGCCTCGTGTTGCGCAGTCTGCGGGGTTTTCGGTGCTACTGATATAGTAGAATGAACTTTCGATATTTGCGTTAATCCATGATACATTCAGAGCACGGATTTTCTTAACTCGATTATTTACGAAGGTGCCAGCGTTTTTTCCGGAGTGAACCTGATGTAAGGCAATTTTGCTGTCAGAGAAAATTCTTATTTTGCTGATCGGAAGATCAAGCTCTTTACGTACGAAATCGGTTAATTGCGATGCGATAAGAAGTGCGAGAAGTTCTAATTTCGGTATGGTACCAGTCTTATTGCTGGATAGTTGGCTTACAGGAGCCAGACGATACTTTGCACACAGAATGTTTGTCTCAATTGAGGAGTCGGAAACATGTCTGATGTAAGTGCATGCAGCGTATGCATTAGCAGATGCATCAGCAAAGGTACAGATTTCGTATACGCCATGTTCCCGTAACAATCCTAGTTTACGTGGGATGACTTTTTCGAAATTTTCTGTATTTCTTACAATAGCATTCCATTGTTCGACTTCTGACTCTGTGATGCGTTGATCCCAGTCGTATTTTTTCAACCACAAACTTTGTAGAAAAATACGAGCAGGTAATAACAGAGGAACTAACAGTCCTAATGGATCAAATGTAGAGTGAACTATTCTCAGAATGTTACGCTTCGTCAGGACATCATGATGTGGTAGTTGCGATCGTAGTACCAGAACGTCGGTGGATGAATTCCACGAAACTCCTAGTACTTTCATGCTTTCACGGTGCGATCTATCCGGTTCCGAAATTTGCGCTACAATTTTGGGATCGTTAGTTACGAACTCACGCAAGTTCATGGACATCTCCGCGAAGATTGCTTTAGTTTTACGGTATTTATCTATAGCTTCTTCGATAGTGTCCGCTAAGAGAAGTACGTTATCAACATAGAGATTACGTAAGATTTCGCTGCAAAGTTCCGTTTGATGATTTCGTTCGAGGAAGTATTTAATTGACATAGCTAGTAGGGATGGACTGGCTTTCGTTCCGAAAGGTACGCGCGTAAAACGCATCTCACGTATATTTGATGATGATGGAGGATATTCTGGGTTTTCTAGCCAAAGAAATCGGGTTGCGTCCCGTTGCGACTCTTGTAAGTGAATCATATGGAAGGCTTTCTCAACGTCACCTGCGACGAGAAAGTTCTCCGAATCTTATACGGATAAGTATCCCTAAGAGACTAGGTAGAATTGTGGGTCCTTGATAAAGTACGTCATTAAGTGATAACTGTCCGATTCTTTTCGAGCTAGCGTCCAGTACGATTCGTACTTTCGTGGTGGTGCTACTCGGTTTTACTACAGCCTGGTGTGGGATGTAGTAAGTTGGACAGCTAGTGGATGCTTTTCCAGAAACGTCTTCAATAATGTTACGCTGAAGTTGTTCCTCGATTATCCGACAGTATTGCGACCATATCTCTGGTTTCGATTGCAAAGAGTTATAGAGTTGGTGCAATCTGCTGAGAGCCAACTTATAATTGTCATCTAATTCCATCTTATTAGGCTTCCAAGGAAACTGTACGTATATTTCGTTATTTCGGATTTCAACGCTGTTGTTGAATTCTTTTAAGATTTTCTCATTTTCGTCTTCATTTACGATATCATCTGTTATACCTATGGCCTCCAGCTTCCACATTGAGGAAATATCTGGAGCGGAATCGTGATCCGGTAGAATGGTCATGAGGCACTGAGGATCGGTTCGATTTGATCCCATAATTTGAGAACAAATCGTTCCTGTTACGACATGACCAAAGATAGTAGGGATTGCTTGTAGCCCGGACGGCAACTGCAGCGGGGTTTCGTTTACGTTCATGATATTATTATAATAATCTATGCCTATAAGAATGTCTGGCGAAATTTCAAGGTCTGTTTCGTTGAGAAGGCTGTAAGCCTGGAGGTACTTACGAGCATAGTTAATGTCTGTTCGCGATATACGTGGAAGAAGGATAGGATTAGATATAACTTTTACAGACAACAGAGTCATATCGATTTCGCGTCCGCAGAGATCAATAAGGCATGTATTGTATTTATGAGATTTACATTTTTCCTGTTTACCGCCAAAAGTGGTCAAGACGTAGGAAGAGTGTGATGAAGAGTATAAGCCAAGACGTTCCGCGAGAGAACATGATATAAAACTTTTAGTAGAACCCGTATCAATTAGAGCATAGACCGATTCCTTGTGATAAGTTAAAGGGTTACAAACAGTAACTAGAATCACCATCAAGCGTGAAGAAAAGTCCGTCGAACTCACGTCCGTTCGGTGGATGAAGACAACTTCCTGATCGTCATTCCCCGAAGAGACACTATCTGCCTCGTCTGATACAGCTGTAGCTAGTAAGGTAGAACGGCGTGGGTAGGGTGTCAGGGATCGCATGCGACTACTTGACGGTCTCGATGGATCTGGAACAAGCCGATGTCGTGATCTTGAGCTTGAACGGGAGCTAGAATTACGACGAGAGGAACTCTGCGACGACTTGCTTGCGTTCCGTTTGCGATTACTACTAGAGGTCGACTGATCCCTCGATTTACGACTTGTCTCCATGAGATTCCGATTACGATAGGGGCTAGGGCTTTCCGATCTAACTTTACGACATAAGGAAACATTGTGCTGGCCTCCGCACTTACGACATGGAGATTTCATGCATTCTGGGCTGTAATGTTCCTGTGAAAAGCATTTAAAGCACTTATTCAAATCTTGGATGCGTTGTCGTTTCGACTCGACGGATCTATATCTGTTACAGTAACGAAGCTTATGAGAACCAGAGCAAGCAGCGCAACTGTACCTTGCAGAAGTGTTAGTCTGGCTATGAAGTATTGTACTTTGCGGGGTCTTTGTGGGTAGGTGCTCAGTATGGACTTGAGTTATTTCGTATTTCTTAACG